CCGCTTTCGGTCTTTCGGCCCAGGGGGCTGCATTCCTCTCCGTCCTGTAATTTTTTTTCATGCCGTCGGATTTTATTTCGTTATGAAGGTGCAGAAGTATACGCAATGAAAATTATTTTAAGAATCATCTGCTAAACCACCGAATATTACGCCGATCACAATGCATATACAGTCGACGCTCGATATAACGAACCTCTATATAAGGAATTTTCTCTTTAACGAATTTTTTAGCCTGTCCCTACGAGTACGTTATACCGAGCGTCGACTGTACTTCTTTTTCACTCAAGTCAGCGTCGCAAGAGATGTACGAGGAGAAGGCAGCAGCCGAACAAAAAATACATTGCACTAGGTCGACCCACTCAGGCCGGGAATGCAATTCCCATCCCATTCACCGCTCTCTCCCGACTGCCATCTCTCATAATCCCCTCCGGCCCCCCCACACCCCCCCCCCCCCCCCACCCCCCCCCCCCCCCCCCCCCCCAACCCCCCCCCCCCCCCCCCCCCCCCCCCCCCGCCTACTCCATACCAGATATGCCTGATGATATCGGGCGACCAGGATGTACGGCATGGTGAAGAGCGTGGCGTACATGATCCCAGGGGTGGTCGAGAGCAGGATGACTCCCAGCTTCGTCCGCGTCACGGCCAGCACCACCATCCCGCACGTGTAGATCAACTGGCCCAACACGTAGACCCGTCTTGCTCTGCGAGAACATTCGGGGCAAAATACAGGCTGATGCATCCGAGCGATTGAGTCTGCGATGGAAAAGTCCCTGGAAAAAGTTGTCGCACGAATCTGGTGAAATTGGGAAACGAGAATGAAACCACGACGCCAATATTTTATCATAAAAAGATGTTTAGAGTAGCGAAACTTGTAACACGATAACCAAGAATCGGAACGTGACCAACACGGAACGCTCCCCAAATCTCGCACGTCTTCAGACTTCTCGAGAAGCCTGCAGAGGGAAACCGACCTCCTCACCCATATCGACGCACGAACCACTCGATGACGCAGGAATAGATGGAGCAGGAGAGAGAATAAAGCGCCATCCCGAAGCAGCCGAACCGGACACCTTTCTCGTACAGCTCCCTCTCCGGGCTGGACTCCGCCGCCTGAACGAGAAACGCCTTTAAACCTACTTTTTTTAAAAGTTATTTTATTTATTCATTTTTTATTTTAATTTTGTTATTTATCATTATCATTCATTATTTATTTTTATCATTTAGTACTATTTATTATTCATCATTTACTATTATTTATCATTTATCTTTAATTTTAATTTTTCCCAGTGACTCGTGGAAGCAGGACTCACCCCCGGCGCCCCGAGAAATACCGCCTCCCCGACGAAATCCGTGAAGTACAACGAGTAGCAGACGAGGGAACTCCACGAGAAGAAATTGACCAGGCATAGCACGACCAGAGCCCTCGGCATCCTGACGATGGAGCGGAGGTATTCCCCCAGCGATCCCACCTCTGGGTGGCCCGCCGGGCGGCCCACCGGCTGGCCCGCGGGGGGGGCCCCGGCGCGGAAGGGGTTCGTGGCGGCGCCGTCGATGGTGCCGTAATTGCGGAGACCGTCTTCGTCGTCCTCGAACCGGTGGTAATCCGGAACCTCGTCCGGTAACTGAGGCAAACCGTTCGGTATCGGTAAATTCCATGGGATTCCCAAAAAAGGAATAGTTAAACCTAATTCTTATGATATTTCTGAAGCCCCAAATAGGATTCCCTCAGGACTCGATCGAACTCGAAGCGTCCAATCTAAGGGGGCGTTGCACGCGCATTTCGATATTCAATCGCAATTATTCAATCAATCAATCAATCAATAATTCAATATTCGAATCCTTATTTTCTCCCAGCCCTAAAACCTACGGAGTAGAATTCTTGTGCCTCAATTTCGGGGCTTTTGCCAGGAAGAAAAAATAAAGTCTCCTGGGCTTCGTAGTGAAAACGGAAGAAAACGTCACGCGACACGCCCACTCTCACATGACACGTAGGGCGCATGGACGCAATCCGAATGCCTTTTGGAAGCCTCTTGGGTCGTTACGACTGGTTTAAATAATTAATTACGGCTCTCCTGCCGGAATAAATTATTCTCCTGTCTGAGATGTCTATGGGGCTCTCTACGGGATTCTTAAAGGATTCCATGAATTTTCCATTCGGACTTTATCGATCCTGCGGGAAAAGTATCGATCGGAGAATCTATCGATTCCTGCTGGAATCCAGCATGAAATTTTCCTCATGACGGATATAAACAAGTTGGGTAAGCCCAGTTCAGTAGTGGACCTCCTTTCAGCTAAGGAAACTCTAATTTTGTCACCTAATTGAACAAAATGCCATCTCTTTCCAGTCTTCGACCATCAAAAACCTCATTTGTATTTGGTAAACAGAGAAACGGTGCCCATGAAACGATGATGGATGGAGTGCTGTGCGTGGTTGAGTCCATCCGCCACGAAGGTAAGTAGGGAACTGACATCTCTGGTTGCTGACACGGCGCCGCGCTCAAAGCCTGGGTCGTACGCGCATGCGCATTGAGGTCCAGAACCCGAAGGGCGAACGGGTACGAGTGCCTTCCCCTCCGAGGCCAAATTTTAAATCCAAAATTTTCAATAAAAATGCCAATTTTGGTCCAAATTCACCACAAAACGAACTCAGCCTGTATCTTGTTCATATCTACCAGCTTGCCAATTTTCACATTGATCAGGCAAGTATTTTTTTAGTTATCGTCGGACAACCAAAGTGTGACACACGGACGGACAGAATGGGACCATAAGTGGTCTTTTTCCTTTCAGGAAAGGAGGCCCACTAAAAATGAATTATATGGACTACCCGTCCATGACAAGTTGAGCCGCGTCCTTCGCCGACTCCGCGAGATCACGGGAAGAAGTCGTCGGCGAGAGGCAGCAGACGTCCGAGTCCAGCCAGACCGAGGCCGAGGATTCCTTCGCAAACTGTCGCAGTGATAGGAAGGGGGGTGGGGTTGAGGGTTGGGGGGGGGGGGGGCATTCGCAGGGCGAGCGGCGAGGGCTTCCGGGTTCTTCCTTCACCGATAGGAAATTCTCCTGCTTTCTAACGAGCATGTTTATCGTCGAGGTAAGGCAGCGTCTTGCACGAAGAATTCTCTCGCGATGAGTTCCCACACCCTTTTACTACAAGCTTTTGTTTTCTGCCGCCTCGTGCTGGACGCGAACTGCCACTTGGCGGCAAATGTCCCTCGAGTCGAAACACCAGTGGCGCCAGTGCCTCATCGGGTGTGTGTGAACTCATCTGTGGTGTGTGGGAACTCATCGCGAAAGCGCCATCCCGCGTCCCTCGCCCGGGGGATACGGGTATATAAACCTTCAGATCTCTTAAGGAGATTTCGGGGCCTCTCTGCGCGATGGACTTTCCGTCGTTCTCTCTGTTCTCTCTCTCTCTCTCGGTCCCAGGTAGCCCCCGTCCTCTTTGAGATCATTTATTCATTTCCGTTGTCCAATGCCGATTCCCGTCTCTCCCCTCCAAATTGATTACTTCACCCTCGGCTAAATTCTTTCCTTCGTGTTTTGTGTTTGAGACGATTTCCTCGCACTTAAAAACAAAAAATTTTACAAACTTCCTTTGGAGGAAGTTCGTTGAGAAAACTTTTGCGCGGCTCGGAAACCTTTGGATGCCCGACGAGGCAATTAACAAGGAAGGAAATGGTTCGCCTTAATTTGTCAGGGAATTCCAATAAGAGTCTTGTCGGTCTGAAAGTTTCTGCCCCGAGATACGAGGGAATGCGATCGATGAAACAAAATTGATTTTCCAGCGTTGACCAAGGCATCAATTCTTGTAGGATCGACGGAATCGGGCTTCGATTTCGTGGGGGAGAAATGTCTTTTTCGCAAGTCGTCTAAAAATGGTTTGGTAGCTTTGGCAGCATTGCCGGTTTCACCTTCGTAGGAAGTTTTGCTTAGATTTATTCATTGAATGAGCTGGTTTGTTGCGATGAATGCATTCATATCGAATGACTGCTTTAATTAATAATAGAAAATTTCCTATCAGCTCCGTATTTAAATTTCGCCATTTTGAAATGGAGTAATTCTCGTGCCTGAAGCCCACCGGTCGGATTCGAGCCTGGGCCTGTGGAGCCCTTATCCACTGAGCCGCTTATATATAAATTAATTATATAAATGCACCAGAACCGATTGCTGACCCTTGAAATTACCAAAAAGGATGAAAGACTATGGGAAGGAACTTTCGGACTTCGATCGTACCTACGACCTCAGGGCTGAAACTTTTGGATCACTCCTCCTTCGTCCTAAAGGATTCACTGTAAGTAACGCGTCGGTCCCACGGGATCCGTTCTAGTGGATCCCATGGGACTGATGCGTGATTCCACCTGTTGGAGCCTCATAGATCTCGTGGAAGACCTATGGGACTCTCTACGGGATTCCTAAAGGATTCCATGAATTTCCTGTCGGGACGTTATAGGTCCTACGAGAAAAATATCGCTAGAATTCCAATTGATTCCTACTGGACTACGGTTGGACTTTTTCGTGACTAGAGAGTGATTCCTGTTAAAACCTAAAAGCTCACAGACGAAAAACGGCAAATTTTCTTGGAAAGTACAGGACTTCCTTCCAAACAAATGAAAGCATTTCTCCGACGCCATATCGAACCGAACTCTCAAACGCAAGGAAAGAGCCCCCCAACCCCCCCCCCACATCCCCCCTAACTCCCCCACCCCCCCAACCCCCCCATCCCCTCACCTGTCCGAGCTGCTCCCTGGACTTCCTCGCGAGCACCCTTAGCGGGATCTCGTGGAAGCTGGTGATGGTGGCGACGAGGCAGACCAAGAAGACGAAGAGGACGAGGGTGAAGACGGCGCGGAGGTGACCGTTGAACCAGACGCCGACGGGGGTGCTCGCCCAGTCCACCCCACCGAGGAGGTAACCGAGGGACCCGCCCAGCCCCGCCATGATGGTGAAGGTGCTCAGGCCCCGAGCGTGGTCCTCTGTCGGGAGACACATCGAGTCGGACGCGTTCAGAGGGAGGGCTTGAGGGACTTAAAGGGCTTGGAGGATTTGGAGGACTTGCCTGGTTGGGTGACGTCGAGGAGGTAGGTCCTGGACGGGCTCTGACACGCGTCCGCGTCGAAGTCCAGGAGGACCGTGCCGAGAGCCGTGAAGAAAATTCCCCACGGATGACGACTCGCCCCGGCGGAGTCATCCGCCGGCAAGTCTTCCCCCGTCGAGTCTTCTCCCGTCGCGTTCCCGACGAGCGAGGAATCCGTGCCGTTCGCCCCGGCCCGACTCGGGTAGAGGTCTCCGAGAAGGATGCCCAGGTCCTTCCCGTTCGGCACCAGGATCAGCCCTTTTTTCATCCGTCCGATGTAAAAAATTTATTCATGTTGCTCCGTCTCTCTCGCTAAGGCAGCTAATACCGCTGATTCCAGGAATTCCTCTTATTCACCACAAAAAGCTTTTTCTCTTGGAATGTTATTTATTTATTTTCCTCCAAAGCACTCTGAAGTATAATGGAAATTCTGACAACCTCGGACCGTTTTGGGAACGGCTTCCCTCTAATCGGGACGAGAGTGCTCAACCCCCCCGGTCCCGGATGGAACGCAGAGACGGGAAATGTACCGATTTCCGCCTTTCCTCCTTCGATCCGACTTGATTAAAGGGAAACTAAGCTGCTTTCATAAGCGCTCGTGTCGATTATTCTCATTCCCATAAATGGCAACAGTCGGATCAGCTTAACGTAAGTCGCGCTTAATAAGCTTAAGGTAATCTTCGTGCTCCATTTTCTCCGTGCCCCGAATTTCTCGAGAGAATTGCGATGAGGCCTTCTGGAGGCCTTCTCTCACGGGGGAGAAAGAAATTGGAGGGTAGACCTCGCATTTCCATTTTTTTTTCTCTCTCTCAAATTCCTCGAGGGAAAATTACGGAGAGAAGACATTTATGAATGAAATCGTTCTTTCGACCCCGAAAATTCTCATCGCCTCTCCTCTCCGGCATTTTTTCTTCCTTCTCGGCCGGCTCTCTTTCTCGCTCGAGAATCGACTTGGATCGGTGCAGTTTTCCCGGTCATTACGACCCGTTGATTGCTCCGCGTATACTAACAAGATGTAACGCTGAATCTCGTTTAATGCCTTCGGGAAACGAAATACCCCATCGCTCGTTAACACGACTCATCTTACAGACTCAAAATTTTTTCTAAACCTGGCTAGACCCTGACGCAAATACTCACCTCACCCCCACCCCCCCTTATCCCCGGTACGGCTCTGCCCCCCACCCCTCAACCCCCTCCAACCCTCACCCCCCTCTCTCACCGAGAACGATCCCTGCAGACAGGATGAGCACGAAGGGCCTCCTCCTCCCCATCCCCCACGAGCACCTGTCGGACATGGAACCCAGCAGCGGCGTGAGGAAGAATCCGAGCAGAGGACTCAGGCACCAGACGAGGGTGACCGCGGCGTGGCCCAGCCCGATCTCGAGGAGCGTGGGCGACACGAACGCCGTCTCGGCCGCGTAGCAGAATTCGATTCCCATCACGGCCGCCGAGATGCGGATCAGCTCCCAGCGGGTCTTCCTCCTGCGAACGGGGAATTCGTTTCGGGTGACCTCGTTTCGTCAACCGAGCGACGCGGTCGAAGCGTCGGAAACCTCCGGAAGTCGGAAACACACCTGAAAATGTCGGAAAAGTCGTCCTCGTCCCCGGCAGCGAATCTTTTGCTCGCCGAATCCTTGAAGCCGTGCAGGTTCCGCTCCGCCAGTTCCAGCCGTTCCTTCCAGTCGCCGTCCCGCCATTTCTCGCGGACGTTCTCGACGGCGTATCGGCTCAGGTTCTGCAACATCTCTCGGCTAAACTTCTACAAAAAATTACAAATGCTTGGGGATTATTGGCTATTGGCCATTGAGTATTGATTATTGACCATCTGTCATTGGTCATTGGCCATTGAGTATTGATTATTGACCATCGGTCATTGGTCATTGAGTATTGATTATTGACCATCTGTCATTGGTCATTGGCCATTGAGTATTGATTATTGACCATCTGTCATTGGTCATTGGCCATTGAGTATTGATTATTGACCATCTGTCATTGGTCATTGGCCATTGAGTATTGATTATTGACCATCTGTCATTGGTCATTGGTCATTGAGTATTGGCTATTGACCATCTGTCATTGGCCATTGAGTATTGATTATTGACCATCTGTCATTGGTCATTGGTCATTGAGTATTGGCTATTGACCATCTGTCATTGGTCATGCCATTGGTCGCATCGTCAGTCATCGAACACGGATGACGACTCGACCCGACCGCACCGAGTCAAAAGAGCAGAGGCAAAAGAGATAAAGAAAACGGTAATCCCCTCGGAGAGAAGCCCCTAAAGAGGGAATCGATCGCTGGTGGAAGAGGAAGAGCGAACAACACGGACGAAGGCATCATCCTTTGGGAGGAGGGGGAGGGGGGGAGGGGAGGAGGTGTCCCGAGACGCCGATCTCCTTTATCGATGGCCTTTGGTGAGGAGTTTAATCAATCTCCTGTCACCTCTCGTGACGTTCCGGCTAAATGAAATCCTCGGGGGAAAACTTACGAATGAGTCTTCTCACATTGACGTGTTTTCCCTTCCGCTGAAATTTATCTGAATTTTTTTTTTTTAGCAGAAGAGAGAGGATCAACAGGAAAAGGCGTTTCGTTATCGGCATCGTTAGCTTCGACAAATTCTGAAATAATTTACAGATCCTTAATTATTTTTAAGTACATTAAATTATGGAATATTATTTTTAAATATTATCTTTAAATATTATTTTTAAATATCCACGCTTTCGATTTTCTGCTTGCTTTAATGGAATAATGGAATTTAATGGTTTTTGTTGCATCACTTCGTTTAATTATTTTTCACGGCTCCAAACTAAGAAAACTCGAAAATACCCTCCTCTAATTGAGTCGATCCAATGAAAAATTTTTGGCGCAGTAAGCACGAAATTCATAATTTAAAAAATGCCTGCAAAAAGGTGTGAAAGTGTGCAAAATAAGTGCGGGAAAAAAATTTGAGACTGCAAAAACGCCGACCGCCAAAACCAGGGAAAATGTGCAAATCTCACCTTCACTCCGATGACACGCCGCGACGGAAGCTCTCGACGAGGCCTTCTAGATCTGAAAGGCGCAGAGACGCAAGTAAAGGCCTCCTCGTGCAACTAAAGGCCCCCCGCAACTAAAGGCCCCTCGCAGGGGCTCGGAGGCTCGGTCTGGCTCCTCCCCCTAATTCGTCCCTTCCCTCCCCGATCACTCCATCAAGCTACAATAACACCTCCAAACAATTTCTCTCAGGCCGATAGAGCGAGAGAGAGAGTGAGAAAGAGAGAGGAGAAAGCGAGAGAGAGAGAGATAAATGAGATTCGGTGATGAGACACCGAAGATCCACTCCATCGTGCATTTTCCTGGTAAGGAGATGGACCCCGAGGAGAGGTCCCTTTCAAGGACCTTTCAAGGACCTCTCAAGCACTCTCTCATATAGAGTCCTGGGGAAAAAAGCGAACGCGAATTGTAAAAAAAAAGGCAAAAAAAGCAAGACGAAAACGAAAAGCGCAGTCGAACGGAAAAAAAGCAACGTCTCTCGATCCGCAAATTTCGCAAACCGATCGCGCCGACATCGAGTCCCGAGCGCGATCGTGCGCGATCGGCCACTGAATGCAATAGACCCACCCCATGCAATATTGAAGCGGCGGTGGACTGAAAACGAAATTGGAGATTCTTCGGAAGCGTCTGGGAGGGAAAGAGAGGTTAACGAGGAGGAATTTCACCGCATTTAACATCATTAAGGGAATCGATCCGAGAGGGAGATGAAATTGTTTTACTGCGAACAGAATTGGTGGAGCGATGTCGTGGGTGTGCTCCCGCGAAATGGCCATCTTCGTGAAGGCGGTTCTCATTTTATGCGAACGCCCAACGTCAAAACGGGGGAAATTTTCGCCATCGGAGGTCCTTTACACTCCCTCAAAGAAGATCCTGGAGAAAAGAGAGCATTTCCATCTTCCCGCCGTTTCTGACAAGCCGGACGGGGAAACCCAAGGGGAAAAAGGAGGCTCTTGCGAATAAGCGCAGCCTGCACGGCGGGCCGCCCTGCCCCCCACCCGGGTCCAGCGGGACGGCGCAAGTTTCAGGGGTTAAACCCGCCTCGTTCCCGTTCGAGCGACGTGAAATCGTCCGCCGATTTCATGCGCTCGTCTCTCGTCTGCTGTCTTCATCTGCGATGAGATGAGGTCACGGGTCGCGTAATCTAATGCTATTTCGGACACACTAAATACATTTTTTTGTCGGGAGAAAAATAAATATCCCCTTCTGTTAAGATGTGGAAATTAGATTCTGAGAGATTGAAATCTCAACCAAAAAGATCAACACTTCCAACCGACCAGATCGGACTCCAGTTTTTTTTTTTCATTTCCTTGATCAAGTCCTTAAGGTTCATTCGTTGAGTTTCCCCGACCTCTCCATCACGGATGTCTCTGAAAAGCCTTGGAATTAAGTTACGAGTTTCTCGATGGAAAGAACCAAGAGCGGGAATCTCTGGGTAAGGAGAGACGAAGCGGAAATGGGAGCGAAGTCGTTAGCATCCGCGGGCATCCCAGAGGGTTTCAATTAAGAGTTCACTTTTCGCAGGGGGAAATTTGATTAAATGTCCGCACTTCGTCCCTGAGGGAGATATTGTGCATCGCAACCCGTTCTCGACCGCTTTCGGTGATGTTCTGTCGACCGTCGCGTGGGAACTCTTTTGCCCCTCGCGGCCGCCTCATCCGATGGAAAATCCTCCGGTCGCAGGCATTTGGTGCAGGGGCCGTTTGGGTCGGGAGGATGTGGAAGCGGATGAGATCGGTGGCGTCTCTCGTCCGAGTAAGGATTCTTCCGTTTTCTCATTCCTGAAACGTTCTGGTGCAGCCGATTTTTCCCTGTGAACTAGAGGTACTTGAGTGCGAATTTTTTTCTCAGCAAATCTCTGTGTCCTCTCAGCTTACCTGGTGCTTCGTCTCTCTCGACCATCTCACATCTAATGATATTCATGGGGCCTTCCCACCCTCTTCTGCGCACCATTCGCCTACGCACCACACGCATCACACGCCTACCATCTGCAAGGAGGACAGAATTTCGCTCTCTACTTGTCGGCAGCCTCCGAGGGAAGTCAGCGTGCGTCGAGCCTTGCGCTCACAGGATGGGAGTACCAGTGGCGGCTGATATTCAGCAGTAGTGGATCGTGAATGGAGGCAGGGTAGGCCCTGGCCTACCCTATCTCCATTAAGAATACACTATCCTGAATATCACGCGCCGCCCACGCCTAGTACATGTCCTTTGACGATCCTTTGCAAATCCTTCATCTAGCAGTATCGTCACGCAATCTGCCAGAATGGAATAACCAACAAATGAACGAGTGGCTCCAAGAGAGATTCATTTTGAGAATGAAACGAACAGAAATAGAATGCATGCATATGTTCGCACATTTTCGTCTGAAGAGCAGGGTGATCGCGAATCATCCGGTGACTACCCACACGGCACAGAGACACCCCCGGATGTCCCCCACTCGACGAGTCGTCCCAAGGTCCTCATGGAACATCTAAGGGACATCTTTTTCTTTTTTGAAGACATTCCCTTCGAAACTGCGGAGATCCCCGGGACGCCCCCCGCGCTTCGTGGGACCCACCCTCAACCTGTGCGCGGAGGAGACGAATCCCAAGTTCATAACTTCGCCGGGAGATGTCTCCCATGTCTCCTATCTCAGACCCTATCCAGCACTTTTATTTGCTGTGCTCGATTTGTACAGAGGAGAAGAAATGATTTTCGTGCCGGGCATCAGGAAAACTGGCACTAAGGAAAGGGAGAAAATTGAGATCTTCATTTTAATTCATTCCCTATTTTATTTTGTTCTTATAAATAAGGCTTCTTTGGGTACAACTATCTTGGTTGGAGATATGAGCCCGTGATACGTTTTAGAAAAAAAAGTCTACATTTATTGTCCTTGAAATTGAGGGATTTCTTGCGAAGACCAGCTAAATTTTATCTCATGGAGGAATCTTGATGAAAGGAAAATATCACTTCCAGAATGCAATGATGAACATGGAATCTATCAAGATTCAGTTGAGAGGGAGGGGAATATTTAAAAAAATTGACTGCAGACTGCCACTGTTGCTAGATCAAAAAATAAAAGCATAAAGTCATGGTCAAGGTTGTACTTTTCATCAGACAAGAAAATTTGAAGGAATTCAGTCATGGGAAGTAGATTAAATATTCCATTTATTCATATCTCCACATTGTGGGAAAGCACAGTAGAAGATAAATCCAACACAGGGGATATTGTTTGTAAATCACATTAGAAGACAAGGAAAAAAGTAGGCCACAAGAAAAGAAATAAAACAGAAGGGGAAAAATTTCTGACATATTGCACAAGCCATTAACCTCAGACATTTTCCAAGGATATCAATGTTCTTTCTCTGCAATGATACCTGACAGAGCACCATCATCATATTTCATTGTGTTCATCATCTCGTACTAGAAGCAGGCATAAAAAAATTGGAGGAAACAAAAAAAAAAAGTATATTCAATTAGATGCAGGCCACCATAATGGTCACCATAAGAAAAGGAGACAGTTTTGAAAGCCTCCCAAAGTAAAATACTATTCTTGATATGAAATATCAGGTTCTGGCATAAAAATTGGATTGTGCTGCTTGCATAAGTGCATAAACATTCTCGCAGTTTTTCCTGAAAGCACGCTCACTTCATGACGTGCAATATTTCAATGACATTTTCTAAATACCTTTAGATTCTACAGAAAAATAAGAAAGAAATGCTAAGCTGAGTATGGCAACAGAAATACAAACAGCAATCATCACAGCAGAGAACACAGTTCAACTTCATCAAGGCTCTAAGCACAAAAAGAAGCACAAGTGATATAAGATGAAGGGTAGCGAGTATGGGCTTCATCAACAAATACTTCCTACTACTCCTGAGTGAGTGATAGTCAATCTGAGCTTCTTTTTTTGGATGCTTTATATTGGATGATGACAGTATTTAAAGCCTTAGTAGGCCACAAATGTGCATCACTTAGCATGATGCTCAAATTCCATCAAATGTGCAAGAAAAATTACATGACTGAAAATAAGCAAGGTTACTAATAAGCAGTGAACAGAATCAAGTAAGGACTTAGAAAAGCCATTAAAAAATATGAAAACTAGATGACTATTAAAATTTCACTTTGGAGCTGTCCTTGACAGTCAGGGTAACCAGTATTTTCACAGGAAGTAAAACACTACTGCTTCTGAAAAATGTATACAATGAACACGAACATTCTTATTATGTGCACAAAAACGCACAATGTTATAATCCTGTTCTTTTCCCATGACATGCTTCAAAAACAAGGAAGAGCAGGAGAGAGCAAAATAAAATATCACAAATGGAAGTTCATTAGACCTTCAGATATGGAGATCACAATTCAAAAAAGTCCTCCTCCTCCTTCCTCTGTAATTTCTTTGAAGAAGCAGAAGAGTTTCGTTTGACTACTGTCCATGGGAGCACTCTAGTGTCATTGGGATTTACATTGTCACTGAGGTGATGATTCACTGAATAATACCGATTGGAAGTTGATCGCATGAAAAGAACATCCTCTTCTGGGCTCACAAACCTGAAATGAAGATGGATATATACGTTCATATACATTCTCATTTATGGTGTAGATCACTCATTATGAAGAAGGGCTAACAACTATCACACCAGTTTTACTTACGGGCTGTCTGAAGTGAGACGGGACATTCGGCTCCGGGCCAGTGCAATGGTGGAATCAATTTCCTGAAGTAAGGAATCAGGAGACTTCTCTGACTTGTCATACACAGATGAAGAACCTTGTGGACTGCAGGATCCATTCACAGAAGGCACACCATTAACCACAGTCCCAGATTGCAAGTCTGACACCTGTTTGTCATCGATGGGAAGTGGGTCAAATGTATTTCCATATGTCACCGGGATGTTCAGGAATGTGCGCAGATGGAAACCCTCATTGGACCACAAGTTGTTTGTTCGTTTCAGTTCCTCAATCTGAAACAGTTTAAAATCAACAAATACAAATTTCACTGCAAAGTTTACAAGCCTATCAAATGAGCATATTTCAACCTCAGGGAACCATGCCTATACCTGAAAGTCTCTATAATCTCAGTCCCTGAATGGGCTGTGCCTAATCCCAAGTGAATCGCTCTCTTGAAGCAAGCTGGAATGAGTGCATTTCTTTCAACCTTCTCCACTCCTGTTTTAAGCACAATTAGGTTATGGGAGGAAGGAAGGAGGCCGAGGAAGCGACGAAATTTAGGGGCAAGAAATGAATCATTCGGTCCGTTATTACCCCCAGAGAAGTCTACGACTGCCGCTTGGAGCACTGGCTTCTCTGCTTCAAGGATTTTTCCCGACTAATGCATCATTTGAACCATGGGCTCTTTGAGTAATTAGATTTGTGACATCTTGAATTCCAGTGCTAAAAAATGGGTTCCTTACCGAGACACCGTACTTGAGGGCGATACCGGGAAGCGTATCATTTGGCGATATTTCGTGACGGATGGTAGAATCAGATTTCCAGCACGATCGAGAAGTGCTACCATATTTCTTATGTTTCACACCTCCAATAAATGTCCTCTCTGAATCACTGGCTGCCGCCATGACTAACGGAACGATGTGAGCAGTGCTGTCAGATACTCTTGGTTAGGAATTCAAGTTACTGGTTACAAATTTTCTTTCAGACCGGAACCCTACAAGACTATAGGTAGACATTAAACTAATTAACCAGCGGTTTTTAATATAGGGAAATATACCGAGAAGAAAAAAATTTTTGATCATACATCTTTGCTGTCGGCAGCCAAGGATTAGGGCAGTAGGAAAGATGGCCGCCGACTCGGGCACGGGCAAGCAGAAAGTGGACCTGGGACTTCTGGAGGAGGACGACGAATTTGAGGAATTTCCCGCTGAAGGTTCGCATTTCATGAGCAGTGCATGAAATGGAATATCAAGTTAAGTGCTAATGTCAAATGTAATTCGTTGCCTCGCCAGATTGGACGGAGAAGGATGAGGACGAGGAGGACCTTAATGTCTGGGAGGATAATTGGGATGATGACAACGTTGAAGATGATTTCAGTCAACAGCTGAAGTAAGTTTATAATATTTAGGTCCGATGCTGAAGAGAACCTGTTCTTTTATTGTTAGGCCAGTCTCGTGATAGCTTAGTTCTAGGTTTAAGTCGACATGCATGGCGTATCCAAGGCCAAGTCCAGGGTTCCCAATTATGTGAGCGATGGAAGCAACTGCTATGACTCATTGGCTTGCAAGAACCGCATCGCCCGTTGCTCCGCCTTCAGTCTCTTAAGTGCCAAAAGCCACCATAGTCGACAGTTAAGTTATTGGAAGTGTTGAGAGTTTCATTCACAGGCTATTAAGTTTTTATACATGTGGTGTTGGGAAGCATGAAAACAGTGTGAGTAGAGCAAATGAGTCATGAGAAGCCTTCACCCAGACATGCAGTATGATACTAATGCCCTTCCATTAGGAATGGTATTGGATTGAGGGCTAGACCACTATCCTGGAGAGAGAGCAGCTTTACTTTGGGTCCACATATATAAGTATTTGCTTAGAAGTCCATGCCAGAAACCAGTGAGAATGGCTTGATTACGAAGATTTGGATTTGGATTATGGTAAAAAAAAAAAAGGGAATTATGAAAAAGCAGGTTAAGCAATATAAAAAGAATAGTGTTACTTTAGCACTTTCCAGATGATTGCATGACCCAACATGCCATAGCAGACTATGGTTTTTCACCTATGTTATGTATATTCCTAAAATTCATCTATATACTCTACCTCATGCTTGTAGAGACATGGGGCTTATAGAGCATGCTGTTTATTTCTTGCTGGATTCTAGTAGGCCTAATTGGAATGGTTGTGCTATGCCTAATTCCTGAAATAGTTTAAATTAGGACTTGCCAAACAGCTGATATCTCGTCCTGGCCTGCCTGGGTTAGTTTATTTTTGAGATGACAACCTTTTTTGGTCAGAGTTATTCTTATGTTTCTGATTGGACAGGGAAAGTTAGAGAATAAAGCTTGACAAAGAAAGTGGAAGTCACACAAGATACCTAATAGCCTTATAAAACTACATGACTTCTTGGTATGGTCACCATTACATATTGTGGTAGATCCCATGAAATTGTCATTTCAATGAAGGACCTTTTAACATACTCCAATGAGTCATCAAAAGCCAGTCCTGGAAGAATGGCTAGCAAAAAATGCCCTAATTTCACTATTGCTGACTTTTGGCCATGGGGCTTCCTCAAAGCACAGGCCTACCAGAACATATCCATAACACTCTTAGAGACATAGGATGCCATATGACAAGAAGTCCACCTTATACTGTAAAAGGTGCATTGCAATGCTCTTAAAAATTATATTCCATGTTTGGAATCATTTCTGAATCTGACTCTCTTACTTTTATGCATTGTTGCCATCTTCCATGCATTTCATTTAACCTGTTCCTCAAGTTTTAGCATCATGTGCCAATGAGGTGTGAATGCAACTTTTGTCAAACGCTGTGGAAAGGGACATGAAATCACTTTGAATAGTAAGGGTTTATTGCCTTGCATCTAGGCCTTAGTCAACTACTTGACTCTTCTGATTCTGCAGTATTAAATCAGAGACATTTGAAATAATGTCAATGTTACAGTTGTCTGGACTTTTTTCACAGCCACCTGTCCTTCACAGAGAGGCACTCAGCCAATTATGTAAGAATCATGATATATGGTTCATGTAAGGATCAATTTATTTCTGTTATATATGCTCTCATTTCAAAATTCATGTTCATTTCCTTTTTGTTCAGGTCGTCAAATGGGAGGGAGGCGGGAGATTAGGTGTGAAAAGAAAAAAGAAAACAAGTTTAGGACAAAGTAGTTGTGTGAGTTCAAAGTATTATCTCAAGGTGTGTTCAAGGTTCATATTACACTTTTCTTCATGTAATCCTACTTTTCACTTGACATATGTATTTAAATTTATTATTAATTCTTTATGTTGCATTTTCTTCACCCTTATTGGAATGGAAGAGAATGCTAGAGTGTCTTTTAACAAACTATGCAAGGGCAGCATCACTTTATTCTTTTCCTATCCAGAAGTAATTAAGCTCATTCATTGGTTGACTCTTCCCTTGTTTAGAAATATGATCAAATCAGATGAAAACTGACTACTTACTAACCGTCATCTCACCTTGCTATGAGAGAAATATCTCTTTTTATGTGCCATGAGGATATTCATTTGTTTTTGTGAGAGCACCTATTTCCCATACAGCAAGTAATAACCTTCATGGGCTTAACACATTGACTAACAGGGTCTGTGACATGTTATGGCTCTGTTAGCCACATGTGGATGACATGGCAGTCAATGTGTGAAAGAAAGCAAGGCTGATTGCAGTTTGTGCTCATTTTAATCAATTTATCTCAATGACAAAGTTACAGGCTTAGAGTTATAGGCTAATTGGTTGGGCGTAGGTTAGACCTTTCTTTCATGACTAGGCTACAAAAGGACTTACATGTTGTCAAATGTTTGGACTGATACTAATCCTTATTTTGCTTTTCCAGGGAGGAGTTGGAGAAGAAAGGCTTTAAAATGGAGCACTGATCAGCTTCCGGTTCCCAACATATTGTGATCTCACCCTGATACTTTTTGTGAAGTGGAGCAATGTGTTGTCCTGCTGTGAGATGGTGCTTTCCTCAGGCATGATCCATCTTTGCCATTTTTTAATGAAAGTCTCATCTCCTTGATTGGGTTTTGATTTTTTATTATCTAGATAATAGTGTGGGTTGTTAGTTGTGGAAGAGAAATCCAAACCTGCTGCTTGCAAAAGATTTAGCATATTTATGCTAAATGCTTTACTACCTGTATTTGCAATTTAAATTTTTTACATTTAATAGTTTTGGAGTGAGCATCTGCTTATAAAAAAAATAAGTTACCTTTCAGGATTACTTTGTAGGTATCTACACCTACAATACTCATACTGCATTTTAAACTTTTGATATATGCCCTCTTATAATCATTAATAGAATATTTTGAAAATTCCAAGTTCAGTGCCATTTTACTTAAGTTCTATGTTCAGAAATAGTTGAGCTCAAACTGTGATAACAGAAAGATTCACAGAATTACGAGAAATTTCTCTGCTTTTTGACCCTTAGAAGTATTTGCATTGCAGAGAGCTGGTCCTTTAGATTACAATAACAACCAAGCTGGTAAGAATCGAAAACATGTGGTCTCATCCCTTTCTTTACCTGTCATACTAAGAGCAAGCAGTAAGAATTGTGTAGAAACGCATGTTACCTCAATTCGAGGCATTCTTGATCTACATTTCACCTGGTCAGATCAAGGACAAAGCAAGTAAGCCATGCAAAACAACTGCACATCTAGTCTATTGATGATGGAATGTGATTTTCTGCAATCTGAAGGGACAAGCCGACCATCCACCCTGCACTAAATTCGTGTAGCTGTGGCACCAAAGAAACAGGGGACATACCAAACCAACTACACGGTGTTAAAAAAATAAAACTGCCCAATTGCTTTTTGTAGAAATGATGGTAACTTTTATCCGATCGGTCCAAATAAAATGTAGAAGGAGGTTATTGCCAAATTTGAAGGAAATTGAGGCAATGTGTCATGTACTACACCGTTTCAAACTTGAGGGATGAGAAAAAGCGCCGGACATCCGGAGCTAAGCGTCATCGATGGAGCAATTCGGGAATGGCGACAGCGGCTGCATGCATGCCATTTTGAGCATGGGCTGCTACCGAAGGTATGAATTTATTTTGAATTCGGCAGGAACCTTCCATTATCTATCCACATTCAGTGTTTAATGAATTGGGCTGATCAGATGAAGCTTACTATCTTCAAAATAAAAACAAAACAAAAAAAGTTAAATTGTTATACGTACAAACACCAGATATGGATGTCCTTAGATTTGGGCAAAAATTTCGTTATCAAAATAGGTGTCAAAGGAGGAGCACCACGCCCTCTGCCCCCTTTTGGCTCTTCGGCATGGCACGCACAGACTTTCGTTCCCTTCACTGACAGTCGAACGCATAATCGGGCTTGTACATAGACTTTTTCGCCTATCAAGTTTGAACTAGCATTGAACGTGATACGAAGCGGGAGTTTTCTTATAATTATGCACATGCCTTTTTGCCTCTTTCCGCATGCAGTGTTTAAGACAAATTGAGTCGATCCAATAACATTTACTATCATTAGCAAAAATGATTTGGTAACTTTTCTTTTAACACCGTGTAGATTAATGGGTGTAAAACTCAAATCGGTCGGCGAGCCGCACCCATACTTTTTCACCGAAATTCGCTGTTCAGTCAGTTCGAATTTAAGTTTTGCCCATCGATGACAGTTGTCAGCATGTACCCGCTTTTAAATCTGTGAACGTATGACAATTTGTTAGAAACAAGCCCCAGACGTGTGAACAATATTCGGTTTATCTTCAGGAAAATATTTGCCATGGCTCTGGTAAGAAAAATGGAAATTTCGCAGTCGCACGAGGCAACAGAACGCACCCACCCACGCGACACTCATTGCACCTCTGGTGACTCGCGAAACCATCGTGCATGCATGGATTCCCACGCAGCCTCGACGGCAGCAGCCCCGCAGCCGCGACTGCAAAGGCGGCAGCAGCTGTGCCGTCCGACCTCGCGCGCCTGTCTTGTCTTTCGTGGCTCACCGCTCACGCTGCTCGGAGGCATGCGGGCAAATGAAGCCTCCGTGACTGCCGCTGCTCGTCGACGATCCATTCGAATACCGGCAGCCTGTGTCAACTGGGGGACGCCATCGCCTAATATACAAAATTGGATGGGTGAGGGAGCCTTCTTCGAGGTTAGGCTCGCGCGTGGAAGGTACCGAGAGTCCATCCAGGAGCAAATTTCAAGAACAGACGGTGGGCCTGATAAATCACCAGCGCGTGCCGGATCCGGCTCGCGGGCCGTATGTTTCACACCCATGGTACAGATGATGGCCATTTTGAGAAGAGGAAGAAGCGGGAAGAAGTCCCTTCAGATCGCGGCATCGTTATTCCCCCCCGGGGAATTCGCGTCCAGACCAAGGGCTGAGATAAGAATCAGTCGGTTGCCTCTCTGTGTCTCCCTTTGTTATCAGTCGACACACGGTCCTCTGCGTAAGAAAAGGCTTCTCTCTTTCCCATGCCGTCCGAGCACGGCCATCGTCTCGTCGCATTCCGAATCGATCGAAAACAAGTACCAAAATCGGGAAAATCCTCGGGGCAACCGTCTCGGTCTCGGCCCCCCAAGCGAAAGAAATCCGCCCGCAGCATGGAGCGAGCAATAAAGCCAAGCCCGTCCCCTCCAAGAGTCTCTTCGAGAGACGACATGGATCATGCCGGCATTCCTCCACGTCCGGGCTGGTAACTTTTACACCGGTATTTTCATATCCCAAAGACTGTGACGTCAGAGAAGAACGAGAGAGAAGCCGGAAAATATTATTTTCATCTCTCTCTCCATGCCTCTCGTGTCGATTAAATGGAAGCTAATCCGGTTTCATAATAGGGTTCTTCGAATGTAATGCCCTTTAATGTCCTTCAGGGGGGGGGGGGGGGGGGGGGGCAATGTCGCATTCAGTGCAAAAACAAATTACCTTCGTTGTCTCCCGGAACGGAAATTAAGTTTTGGAAAAATGTTGCGCCATGAGAGCCTATTACCACTGCACAAATCACTTTTAATTTCCGAGAATCCTAATGCCGATCGCAATCTGAACCGAGAAAGTACGCATGCCGCACCATTTCTCTCCCCTACACGGCCGTTCCATCAGCAAAGCAACCAGCGTCTATCTCTTTTCACGGTCATCTCACGAAATGGGACCGACCTCCCCCTCCCCCTCCCCCTCCCCTTCCCTTCCCTGAGCTGCATGAACAATCCGAAGAGCCCCGTTCACGATGGACTCGAGGGCCCTCGGTGACGGGCGACAGGGACCGTTACGTCAGCTCGAGGTCATCGTGTCACCGGTGGCCACGAGATGCACCGACCGGGACATTACCGTCAGTCAGACATCTTTCCGCCCATCTCTTCGTCGCAACGGTGAGTCCATCTCACTTCGTCGGAAGGCCGTCGCGTTTCGGACGTTTCAAATAAGCAGATCCTATTCTATTGCATATTTTATTCCTCGACCCGTTGCTTTACCGTTCTTTACCGTTCCCGACATCGAAAAGTCGGCCATTAACTTGGAAATTTATTTTACCATTTTACTCGTTCGTGGAAATATGCACGCCGACCGTCGTCATTCCTTCGCTCATCCTCGCTCATCCTCGCTCATCCTCGCTATCGCACCCCAAGCAGGAAGGATGCCGCGAGTCCCCCGCCTCCCCGATGCTTAAAATCACATCGCACAGAAGCGGAAAGCCGAGCACCCCGCAGGAAAAAGCGCCAGACGAGAGCATGAAACCATGGGCACGGTCACAATCATAATCCTCCTTCACGTTCTTCACTTCTCTCTGGCCGAGGTAAGTTCACACGCTCCAAGATTCAAATGGAATCGAAGCATTCGGGTGTCAGGAAGAAATCACACATACGAGTCCAGTGAAAACTGATGTCATCGCAATAGAAATTGTTTCTCTTTTCCAAATCGCCTTCGTTTTTTTATTCATTTTTTTTTAATCGTTAATTTCCGATTACTGTATGCAGCCAGAAATTCCTCGACCTCCATTGCACAAAAAAGTAGTTTTCTTATCTTCCCTTCACTCCAAAGCTGTCATGAAGTATGGCACAATTATGCCTATTTTATTTATTTATTTAAACATTACAATGCAACTGATTTAAACATTTGAGGCTGAGTTTTGTAGCGATCCCTGCCCCTTTTTTTTTGTCGAGTTCATGGGTCACATCACGACAAGAAAGCCGTATGGAGTTTAATGGGGTAAAAGGGGTAATTTATTGCCTGCTTGAGTTACCTTGCCTTTCAGGAACGTAAACTCTCTGAAACCATTTTGCAACGATCAGACCATTGCATCATCTTCAAGTTCTCATTTCTTCGACTGGGAAGACATTTTAAAACGATTTTGCATGCGGAATATGCGACCATGCAAAAATTGGTATCGACTCGTGCAGCTATTAGAGAGGGTCATTGGGGACTTTGAAATGATCGGAGGAACAATTTCAATAAATCAATTGTTTCACATCGTGCCTTTGCCGCGGCAGATTTCGATCGGAGACCACGCATCAAGAATTCAGTTCAATCCGCCGATTAAACTGAGGGCGACCGTGCAAATCCGACCATCCCGTTCTTGCCCTGCTATTCCAGATTTCGCCAAAATATCTTCCAATTACCAATAAGAATGATGAAACATTCAAAGGAATCACATATAATCGTGAGTGCAAATGGTAAATGAATCTAGCGTACATCCGCCAACAGGAAGATGGAGAGGGCGAGGCGGAGGGAAGGCAGTTCCAGACGGACCGAATCTTCAGCCCCATCAACGTCTTCTGGGGCGCCCTTCAGTACTTCTTGTTTTGTAAGTGTTTTCCAAAAAAAAGCTTCTCAAAAAAGACAATCCGTTATTAGTAATATTTAAAAAAAAATAAGAAGCAGGACAAGTCGAGTCCAAAAGTGGGACTCCTTTCGATGACTTATTAGGGGACGGGATCGTACGACGTGCAGCACTGCCGGATGCGGGATTGCACGAGTTTGTCTAGCAACCATTTCGTCAGTGCAGGGACTTGATTATTGCTGAAACTAACTCATCCGCTGTCTTGTCTATACAGTCGTCAAAGAC